GGGGGGGAGTGCAAAAACTAATGTATATTCGATGGTCAGATGGTCTTTGAAATACTTTTTCTAAATAAAGATTACATGCATTTATAAATTAGCCTGATAAAACATATTTCCCAAATTATCCATATGAGAGCAACAAGGTGGCCTAGAAAACCATTAATGAATAGTTTGTAAAATATGTGGAAAGTTTCGTTTCAAATAAACAAGCGTTTTGAAACACCCACCAATTTAAATTCGTGTTTTTTTTTTTTTTAAAGCAAATCATTTATTTTCAGTCACATAATAATAAAACAATAAACATGTTTGCAAATAAACAACATAACGTCATTGTTTAATAGACCTATAATATATACTTACTGACCGTGTCGAGACATCCAGGTGTCATGTGGCTGTCCAAGGTCTCTCTTATCATTGACAGGTTGATTCAAGGGTTTTACGTCTACTTCAACCCAGTTTACGGTGTGAGGGGGTACACTCTTGTTTTGTTATTGGCCTTTCCTGCCCTCTGACTGAAACAACGTCCTGATCCTGCGAGTAGGTACGTCACATGGCCGCTCAGTACCCTCGAGTTGGATAGGCGTTTCGCCAGCTGTGGCACATACACCCATCTCTACGCATGGTCTCTGTCTTATTCCTTAGCAACTTAGCATATCCACTATTTCATATTTTTATATACGTACGTTGACTTCTGTTACTATACACCTGGGATGACTATCCTTTAAGTGTCAAAATAGAGGTTCACTATATTTAGCCTAGTGCTACAATTGTTGGACGGATGTCCGTAGGCCACGTCTTCAATTGAGAACTACTCATACATCTAATGTAACTGTTTTAACCAACATGATGCCTATTTATATTTATTATTTTATATTATTTGTTATTCAGAGTCATGACTATTGGTGATTATTCGTTTCTATTTGCAATGTACCGTTGAAAGCAGAGCATTGTGTAGTTTAGCTGAGGTAGCATTAGAAAATATAAACTGCATTGTACATGTGAAATTACACTGGATTATACATTCCAACACGCATTTAATGGTGTTGCCCGTTTTTTTCGACATAAATTATTCCATAGCATGTGTCTGCCTAACGTTTGTACGACTAGCTATCTATACAATGACGTTAAATCAAAGTTAAAGTAATATCCTTTACCGATATTTACATATCCATCGCTTTAGATATCGTCGGGCATTCAAAGGTAATCTTCCGTTACATCACATTGCATAATATTATCATTAAAACCTGGCACGTCATTAAATTACCATAGCTGTTGATAGGATGTAACACATAAACAAACCAAACCAACTATTATCAATAGATATCTACAATTGTGTATATATATTCGTTACCTTTCTATCATGAGGTTCTTTGATGAAAGCATAACTGCAGCTGCTTTTTTTCTGTGTATAAATACATAACCCACAGTACATATACTATATAAACTACACCTATGCTATAATGATTATATTATAGGTGTATTGGCAGACGAGGCTAGTACCTGTGCATAGAACGATTACTATCGTTACGATTACGTGACGACTAAACGCTTGGATTTTTTTTTATTTAAAGACATATTTAAAAACGTTAGCTGGCCCTTACAATGACGCTTACTTAATGTGATTATTATATTCATTTCAAATAATATTTATTTTCTTTAAAATGAAACCTATGTGAATCAGATATGAAAGCACATATCGTCAACTATTTTTTTAATTTTTAATTTTTAAGTAATATTTAATGTTCCAAGCCAGTGTTAATGTCTAAATTATAATTATGTTATTGTTTGAAATGTATGTAACCCAAGGGAGAGGGCTTGTATAGGCATAGCCTGTTGCCCAATTCCCATTGAATCATTTGACTAAATAAAATATTTTGAAATGAAATACACAATTTTCGGAGCATAGTTTTTATCAAATATACACAATGACAAAGAGATACATGTATATTAAACTGTACATCAAACTGACGTAAACAAAACAATTTTCTTGTCAAAATAGACACTTAAATCTTCGAAATATTCGTCGCAATATGTCATGTCAAATTTAAGTTGTTATAAGCACTCTAGTGGGACAGGTTAACCGGTACATGTGACGGACTATAGTTGATATCATCCTGACGGGATGAGTTCAACCCTTCAAAGACGATATATTTGAGGTTTTATATTCCTGATGAGGCATGTTTGATAATAGATACAATTGATTTAAGTTGGAATTACCTCGATGTGACATTTAACCGTCTTATATGATGGATTTAAGTTTTAATCTTTCTAATGGGATATGTTAAACGTCATACGTCATATAGTTTTTAAGACGGGACCCTTAGGTTTTAGCATGTACTTATACCAGCAAGCTCCCGTTATCTTAAACGTGCTTTGTTGATGTTAGATCTATTTCTACTCGGACATCATTTTGCGAATTACCGGTACCAAATCTAGATTCCGACACCCGTGCTATTAGTAACAGACCGAGAAATAGAATCATCAACACCACACTCTCCCCAAACAGGAGGTAAGTAAACCACATTGGTGTGAATGTCTCCATCAGGTATCCTAATATGATAGGGTTGGTCATAGTTCCGCTAGACGATGCTATCATAAAGATAGATACGATTTTGCCGGATACCGGAAGCAGTTTCTCCTCTGTCCACATAATCACGCATGGGTAGATAAGAGACATGGATGCACCTGTGCAAACTGCGCATGCCCATATACCTTCGTCAATATTGAAGCCTGCAAAAACTGACAACGCCCCTAAATCAATGCACAAAACGATTGTTAAAACGCAAATGATTTTTGCTGGGCTGATGAATTTTATAACCCATATTCCCAAGAAGCGAGCAAACCCGAAGACTGCCCAATACAGCGACGTGACGTAGGATCCTTGCACCTTTGACCAGTTCAGCTGTGTAACACCGAACGTTGTCAGATAGGCCGTGAATGTATCCTCCATTGCACAGTAAATTGCCATGAACAAACACAGACTAAGCAGGACAAGAATTTTAAAACCAAACGTCATCTCCCTAGAAATTCGTTTAATGTCTTGATCTATTTTCGTTTTTTGTTTTTTTCTTTGGCAATGTCGTGCTCTTAAAAACATGATAAACAGGGGTACGGCACAAGATATGTGCATTACTGCTGTTAAAATATATGCCACGTATAGTCTAGAGTCGCCGATGGCATACCCGGGTGCAGCGGTCACATTTTGATTGGTATTGGAATTGGTACAAGCACTGTATGTTTGTTGAGACACGTTGGAATTACAGTCAGTAAATTTATAAGAAGGAACATTTCCTGTATCCGTGATATTTACATCATTCCAGTCCTCCAATGTCTCTTGTAGAAATGCTGAAGTCACCAATGGAGAGGTGATGCCACCAAACGCGAAGGAGAAGTGTAAGGCCTGTACGTAGGAGTGGCCTTCTTGCCCCCAAGTAGACAACAGGAGAGCATTTCCGCCTGTAATGTGAAATGGTAAAACTGCTAATCATCGGAGTACCTCGCGGTCTTTCACAAAAATAACAGATTGACCGACGAAATTCTTGTTTTTTGTTTACCCTTTATTATGCAGCGATACTTGATTATATGTGTCGGTTGTATAAATAGCGTTTAACGTCTTATTAACATTATTAACAGCTAGGGTCAATCAAGGACATACATACATCCTTGTGTGTACGTATGCTGAAGGCAGGATATTTTTGTGTATGTACCTCCTTGTGATAGTCCGCATCTGATGCCTATTTTAGAGTGCTGTCTTACTGAAAAAAATGCAAAAGGTACCCAGCGCAATATTTCACCCTGTCACATTATGCTGACAACGTTTTACCAGTTGTTGTATTTCCCCTAAATATTGAAAAATAAGCAGGGAATAACAACTACGATTTTAGGGACTTTGGTATGTCCTGGCATGGCATGACAGAACCCACTGCAAACCCCACTTGGGATGAATGCTCAACACCAAGGTTAAAAGAGGGGTCTTGCCTAGCGAGGCATTAGGAACTAGGCATTAGGAACTAGCGAGGCATTAGGAAAGAAAAAGGTGTTTATGAAATACAGAGAAGATATAAGATTCCAGGTGTTGCAATGGGGGCAGCAGATCAATGTTGGTTTCCTCAATGTCCTCTCAGCAAATGACACAGAAGAAACCCCCGTTCAGACATTTGAATACGTCAAGTATATGACTATAGATTATTAAACCTTACATATAACTTGATGGCAGGTTTGTCGAGTGTATGGTATTATTATACCTCATCCATATAACAGCTTGACTGGGGATAACACATCTTGTCGACCTAACACACTCGACATTTCCCGATCAAATTTCCTTTATTTCCAGACTCGCTAGAAAAATGGACAATAGCTACCACACCTGAGTTCCGAGTAAATGATGCAGATATAAATCATGTTTCAAGTGGGTCTTTGGCTTCACCTCGTGAAACATGATTAACCCCGGGGACACAAAAAAATCGTGTTTTCCTACATCGAGGGCAAGAAATGTATAATAAACACTTAATAGAAAAAGTTATAAAAAGACAACTCACTGGCATCGATTCCTCCACCATAGAAACCGCCACAGAACTACACCACTATCATGAGCTCGTACCAGAAACACCAGGGGAGAACGGCTGATATTACTGCGCCCGCGAATGAAAAAAGTGCCGCCAAGAGAACCTTGTTGAATCTGTCAAACAGCATCCCACTGAGGACGGCACCCGCCAAGTACCCAACAGACCTACTCGTCAGGAAGCCAGACGCTTTCTTCACGTCTGTCCTTGTGATGATTTGGAAGTCAAGGAAAGAAGGACCAAATTGACTAACCGCCCATCCCTGTAACACAATAAACCTTGTGACATTGTGTTAAAGCTATATTTGCTATAAAATATTATTAGGTCAGTGTGGTGTTAATTCTGTAAATTTAACAAGAATGTCAATTTACATTACAAACCTGTTAAAAGCGAAACCTCGAATGTCATGTAAGGCGTGAATCCATTCGTTTTAAAAACCAATGCGAAAAATGGCATTGCAACTTGTACAGCGCATTTGCTTATGGCATTGGGGCTATGGGCATAAATCATTCATGTAAACTTCAGTATAAATGCATGTACGTTTATCCTCAAATGTTGCATATTTAAGTGGCTACGCTAAGATATCCCCTGTATTGTACTCTGTGAAGCATATATCCATTCAGTTACAAAATATCTTGCCCTATTTAAAATGTATTGCTCTTTCAATACATTCTAAAAATCAAACAAAGAATGCGTTATTATATACATATAAATCGAAAGTAAACAGTTTTCATCTGAACTATTAAATAAGTCCAAGTGCTCTTGTTTCACGTACCAATGTGACGAATGCCCAGCATAAACACAGACTGAGAATAGCTTTCTCCCTGTATAGTGAGTCCAAATGAAGTCTTGTCATCAAGGAAGTATCGTCACTAGGAGGCGTTTTAAGTATAAATTCATTCTTCTCTTCTAGGACACCAATCTCTGAGATGAAACTGTCACTTTGAAATTTCTCCTTGCGAAACTCAGCAGAGTCGTCATTTTCACTTGCTTTGTGCATAGCTAGATCTTCGGGTGATATACAGTGGAGAGCCAATCATCCAAACACATCGGCAAACACAAATGTTGTCAAGGTTATGCGGATACTCGGCGTTCTTCTGATGCAATGGTGCTTGCAGCGAACATTGTAGAGAACAGTGCCTCTTCTGTGTTGACAAAAAAATAGGAAGTCTTAAATTCAAGATATATTTATACTAGACCTCTAACGTAAAAGAGCAGCTTATCGGTTTTGGCTAAACAGTAAAACATGCATAAACACACAAGTTACTTTGGCTTAAACAAAAGTTCAAGATGATCTTATGTAAGCAGAAACCTTATTTCCTTGGGAAAAACGTTGAGCAAAACATTTGATTTCATTTGCAAACAAAAATTAGTGAAAACTGAATTGCAAACAATCAACTGTTACATTGTAAGTCACTACCGCAAACGTACAGTTAAATGAGGAAAGAAAATGTTGTTAATCCAAGTGTTGCGATGGCTACGGCGAATCAGATTTGGTTGTATTACTTTTCCCCAAGCAAAGGCAGAGAGGAAAACCAAGGTCCATTCCTTTCTCTCTGTTAACTATTGGAGTTTTCACAAAGATTTTATAAAATAATGCATTTTCTACACATTCAAAAGGAATTAGGCAACGGGCGTAATGACTATATAGGCCCTCGCCTGGTATGGACAGTGTTCTTTATAATATATTATATTGTGAAATAATTTAATAAATCGACCAGACCTGTCACTGCAGTGACTCATTAATTTGAGTTATTTTAGAAGTATATGAGTTATGGGAGTTATCTCCCCTACTCCTAACCATTTGAGTGATCAAACATACAGGGGAATATTGGTAGAAAAGAGAAAGAAATGGCGATAAAAATCCGAGATGACCGCCGCCTGGAAGTCATCTTGATCTTCGTATATGTCCCCAAGTCGAAAAAGGTTCTAACGCCAAATATGTTACCCGTTTCCAATGACTAATTATTGACAGTAAAGCAAAATCTTTAGAGTTATAACTTCAATCCATTATGTCAATCTATCTACCACCAATGGGGGACCTATATAGGCTATAAGCCTGTTGTCCCATGACTTATATAAGGTATAAGCCTGTTGTCCTATGACCTATATAGGGTATAAGCCTGTTGTCCCATGACCTATATAAGGTATAAGCCTGTTGTCCCATGCCCTATATAGGGTATAAGCCTGTTGTCCCATGCCCTATATAAGGTATAAGCCTGTTGTCCCATGACCAATATAAGGTATAAGCCTGTTGTCCCATTACCTATATAAGGTATAAGCCTGTTGTCCCATGCCCTATATAGGGTATAAGCCTGTTGTCCCATGACCTAGATAGGGTATAAGCCTGTTGTCCCATGACCTAGATAGGGTATAAGCCTGTTGTCCCATGAACTATATAGGGTATAAGCCTGTTGTCCCATGCCCTATATAGGGTATAAGCCTGTTGTCCTATGACCTATATAGGGTATAAGACTGTTGTCCCATGACCTATATAAGGTAGAAGCCTGTTGTCCCATGACCTATATAGGGTATACGCCTGTTGTCCCATCCTTTTGACAGTGTAACATTCTTTTTTGTCAATCAAATATGTTGAAATTGAAAACTGTCCCCAAACCGAACATGTGCAACTTAAAACAGACCGAAATCTACTTGTAAAATTAAAGAAAAAAATATGTTTTGTACTTCTTAGGAACAGCGATAAAAATAACGTTTTATGAACGGTGATGAGGAAAACCGACTTGAACAGCCATCAAATAATGATGATTGGCTAAACAGGAATGTACCGCTTATGTTGTATTCCATGGCAGTTGTTTAATAGCCTTAGAACAAGGCCTACCATAGATCGATACGCGATACAGTCGTTCAGATATCAAATATCCACATGCTCTTTGATACACTTATATTAAGAAAGATTACTTGCGTAATAGATCAGACCTATGTTTTATTCTTTTATAAACTTCTTTCAAATATTTCCATAATGTTGATTTAGAATGCAACGATATGGCTTAGAAGACCATGAAAACTTTTTTGTTATGACCTTTCATTATAAAATATAGAGCTTATATCAATATAAGTGCAAAATGTGAAAGACATACGTTATATACTTAACCTGAAGAGTGGGTCGGGACATCCGGCAGTCGTGTGGCTCCCCAGAGTCTATCTTATCAGTGGTAGGCTGGTTCATGGGTTTTCAGTGTTCAGATGACGCAAGTGGGCAAATGGCCTTTGTCGCCCTTAATCAGTCATAGCCCTGCCCTGTTAACAGGCAGGTTACAAAGCCGAACATGCAGCTCTCCAGTTTGGGATATTCGTTTTGCCAGCTGTGGTGCTATAAGTGGTCACTATAAGTGGTCCCTGTCGAAGCGTATCCACTTTTAAATTTCTATCCACCCAGAGTGACTATCCTATTAGTGTCAACAATGATGTACATATATATATTAGTCCACTGCTAACCTTGAATATAGTATGTGTGTATGGACGTCTGTAGGCCATGTCTCCACTGCTAACCTTGAATATAGTATGTGTGTATGGACGTCTGTAGGCCATGTCTGCGGTTGTCGACGCATTTCTACAACTGTCGTATCACTTTGAAATGTGTAGAGGTTATTTTTTTGACAAATATTATCATCACTGATTATTCAGAGTGATGACTCCGCGTGATAGTTCGTGTTTATTTACGATGTTCCGTTGATGTAGGGCATTGTGAAGTTCAGCTGAAATGATAATAAAAAGGATAAATTACGTGTAAAACTACACTGTGTTCTGTTTTCTAACAGGCAAATTTAATTATGTTCTGCATTTCTAGATGCGGGACTTTAATATATATCGATGAACAGCCCCTCTAACTATATCATTCCCCTACTTTGATTGAATTTCTTATCTCTCGATTCTATTGAGTTCAGCGACTTATTGATAGATAAGATCAGTTAAAGACGTGCCCCCATGTGTTTAATGTATGTATGTGTGTTATGTGTGGTAGAGGCAGAATGTCGATGTTTTTTCTCCTGATGCCGAAGGACCGAACATAATTTTCCACTCGGCCACTTTATACTGTCATGAGGTTAACCACTCTAAACCTGGAACGTTAAGCAGGAATGACAACAATTGATGAGGACTTTGGTATGTCCCGGCCTGCACACATTACCTCCCCTGCTCAGGCGAACGGACAAGGAAACACAAACAAACGTTGTTATGAAGCAAAACAATGGGTGCAGCAGATTAGTTTTGGTCGCATTTCCTTAGACAGCACAAAATAAAATCCCTTATTCTGTAGGGGATCCCACATTAGTCGTTTCTTACACCATACAGTGGGTAACTTTTTTCAATTCCCGACCTGCACAATACAATACATTTGCAGCACACACACTTGCATACACACATAGGGAGATATTAGCCAGGTGGCATAGGACTAGTAGCTAGCGCCTGATAAGGCAGCTCCTGCGAATTTCTCAATATTGTATTGATTAATATAGATGCTAATTGTATTGACTGTATAAAATTGTATATCTATGTACTGTAAAGCGGTTTAAAGTGGCTTATGTTAGCTAGATAGCACGCTATATCAAATGTTGTATATTTATATAAAACTAGCTACATATAATATATATATATAATGATGTGACAGTGAAAAAGAATATAATATTCAGTCAATAACCAATTAAAATCTATAAACATTTGTTTTTGTTTTTAATCTGCCTCTCAAGATAAACATTTTTTAAACAGTTCATAATTGTTTAAAACGTTATTGTAAGAGAACATGAACGCACTGGATGTATCCTCACCCCTTACAGCCCACCACATCTTGTGATATGGTAATGCCCCTTTAATACACATGGATATATCATTGTTATATGGTAATGCCCCTTTAATACACATGGATATGTCATTGTGATATGGTAATGCTCCTTTAATACACATGGATATGTCAGTGTGATACGGTAATGCCTCTTTAATACACATGGATATATCATTGTGATACGGTAATGCCTCTTTAATACACATGGATATATCATTGTGATACGGTAATGCCTCTTTAATACACATGGATATATCATTGTGATACGGTAATGCCTCTTTAATACACATGGATATATCATTGTTATATGATAATGCCCCTTTAATACACTTGGATATGTCATTGTGATATGCGAATGCCCCTTTAATACACATGGATATATCATTGTTATATGATAATGCCCCTTTAATACACTTGGATATGTCATTGTGATATGCGAATGCCCCTTTAATACACATGGATATATCATTGTGATATGGTAATGCCCCTTTAATACACATGGATCTATCATTGTGGTATGGTAATGCCCCTTTAATACACATGGATATGTCATTGTGATATGGTAATGCTCCTTTAATACACATGGATATGTCAGTGTGATACGGTAATGCCTCTTTAATACACATGGATATATCATTGTGATCCCTTTAATACACATGGATATGTCATTGTGATGCGGTAATGCCCCTTTAATACACTTGGATATGTCATTGTGATATGGTCATGCCCCTTTAATACACATGGATCTATCATTGTGATATGGTAATGCCCCTTAAATACACATGGATCTATCATTGTGGTATGGGAATGCCCCTTTAATACACATGGATACATCCTGTGATATGGTAATGACCCTTTAATACACATGGATCTATCATTGTGATATGGTAATTCCCCTTTAATACACATGGATATACCATTGTGATATGGTAATGCCCCTTTAATACACATGGATATATCAGTGTGATATAGTAATGCCCCTTTAATACACATTGATATATCATTGTGATTAGTAATGCCCCTTTAATACACATGGATACATCCTGTGATATGGTAATGCCCCTTTAATACACATGGATGTGTCATTGTGATATGGTAATGCCCCTTTAATACACATGGATATATCATTGTGATATGGTAATGCCCCTTTAATATACATGGATATGTCATTGTGATATGGTCATGCCCCTTTAATACACATGGAAATGTCATTGTGCTATGGAAATGCGCCTTTAATACACATGGATTATGTCATTGTGATATGGAAATGCCCCTTTAATACACATGGATATGTCAGTGTGATATGGTAATGCCCCTTCAATACACATGGATATATCATTGTTATATGGTAATGCCTCTTTAATACACATGGATATATCATTGTGATATGGTAATGCCCCTTTAATACACATGGATATGTCATTGTGATATGGTAATGCCCCTTTAATACACATGGATATATCATTGTGATATGGTAATGCCCCTTTAATACACATGGATATATCATTGTGATATGGTAATGCCCCTTTAATACACATGGATATATCATTGTGATATGGTAATGCCCCTTTAATACACATGGATATATCATTGTGATATGGTAATGCCCCTTTAATACACATGGATATATCATTGTGATATGGTAATGCCCCTTTAATACACATGGATATATCATTGTGATATGGTAATGCCCCTTTAATACACATGGATATATCATTGTGATATGGTAATGCCCCTTTAATACACATGGATATATCATTGTGATATGGTAATGCCCCTTTAATACACATGGATATATCATTGTGATATGGTAATGCCCCTTTAATACACATGGATATATCATTGTGATATGGTAATGCCCCTTTAATACACATGGATATATCATTGTGATATGGTAATGCCCCTTTAATACACATGGATATATCATTGTGATATGGTAATGCCCCTTTAATACACATGGATATATCATTGTGATATGGTAATGCCCCTTTAATACACATGGATATATCATTGTGATATGGTAATGCCCCTTTAATACACATGGATATATCATTGTGATATGGTAATGCCCCTTTAATACACATGGATATATCATTGTGATATGGTAATGCCCCTTTAATACACATGGATATATCATTGTGATATGGTAATGCCCCTTTAATACACATGGATATATCATTGTGATATGGTAATGCCCCTTTAATACACATGGATATATCATTGTGATATGGTAATGCCCCTTTAATACACATGGATATATCATTGTGATATGGTAATGCCCCTTTAATACACATGGATATATCATTGTGATATGGTAATGCCCCTTTAATACACATGGATATATCATTGTGATATGGTAATGCCCCTTTAATACACATGGATATATCATTGTGATATGGTAATGCCCCTTTAATACACATGGATATATCATTGTGATATGGTAATGCCCCTTTAATACACATGGATATATCATTGTGATATGGTAATGCCCCTTTAATACACATGGATATATCATTGTGATATGGTAATGCCCCTTTAATACACATGGATATATCATTGTGATATGGTAATGCCCCTTTAATACACATGGATATATCATTGTGATATGGTAATGCCCCTTTAATACACATGGATATATCATTGTGATATGGTAATGCCCCTTTAATACACATGGATATATCATTGTGATATGGTAATGCCCCTTTAATACACATGGATATATCATTGTGATATGGTAATGCCCCTTTAATACACATGGATATATCATTGTGATATGGTAATGCCCCTTTAATACACATGGATATATCATTGTGATATGGTAATGCCCCTTTAATACACATGGATATATCATTGTGATATGGTAATGCCCCTTTAATACACATGGATATATCATTGTGATATGGTAATGCCCCTTTAATACACATGGATATATCATTGTGATATGGTAATGCCCCTTTAATACACATGGATATATCATTGTGATATGGTAATGCCCCTTTAATACACATGGATATATCATTGTGATATGGTAATGCCCCTTTAATACACATGGATATATCATTGTGATATGGTAATGCCCCTTTAATACACATGGATATATCATTGTGATATGGTAATGCCCCTTTAATACACATGGATATATCATTGTGATATGGTAATGCCCCTTTAATACACATGGATATATCATTGTGATATGGTAATGCCCCTTTAATACACATGGATATATCATTGTGATATGGTAATGCCCCTTTAATACACATGGATATATCATTGTGATATGGTAATGCCCCTTTAATACACATGGATATATCATTGTGATATGGTAATGCCCCTTTAATACACATGGATATATCATTGTGATATGGTAATGCCCCTTTAATACACATGGATATATCATTGTGATATGGTAATGCCCCTTTAATACACATGGATATATCATTGTGATATGGTAATGCCCCTTTAATACACATGGATATATCATTGTGATATGGTAATGCCCCTTTAATACACATGGATATATCATTGTGATATGGTAATGCCCCTTTAATACACATGGATATATCATTGTGATATGGTAATGCCCCTTTAATACACATGGATATATCATTGTGATATGGTAATGCCCCTTTAATACATATGGATATATCATTGTGATACGGTAATGCCCCTTAAATGCACATGGATATATCATTGTGATATGGTAATGCCCCTTGGATATATCATTGTGATATCATTGTGATATGGAAATGCCCCTTTAAT